GCGGTCAGGAATTCCTTAGATCTTTTTATTTTTATTTTTTACGAAAACCTATTGGTGGAGTAAATTTATATAGCTGACCTTGCTTCATAATTTTTCCATGTTTATCATTCTGGGCTATTCCATAGTCGTTTGTGCGTTGTTTTGCCTAATTATTTTAAATTTGGACAAACTTAATCGACTTGAACTGCTGAACGCCAAAAATCGTTGCATCAAGTCGACGCCCTTTCATCAATATTCGCACTTGCAAATTTTTATTTCCAAAAGGAAATGCAAATTGAAGCACGAGACACGTTTGACGAACGAAAACGCCTCAAGACCCGTTTGAAATCGCGGTATGGGCGGGACGACGCATCGTTTGGATGCACCCCATCAGCCTGCACTGCATCACGTCCCCTCGGGGCAAATGCACGGGGAGGCCGAGTGGAGGGGGTTGCATGCGGGAGTTGCCTTTCCGGGCCAGTCACCCCAACTTCAGCTGATGGTGTGCGTCTTGCTGGGGGTGTGATGTCTCCAACTTCCGAGCTCATTTTCACTTGGTGTTCTTTGCCGGAAGGTTAGTAGGCTTAGCTTCGAGGCGTAAGGGATAAAGGTAGCATTGGCCTAATGGAATTTGGCCTTGCTGGCTTTCGTTTGAATGCTCGTTGATCAGAGAGTGGGAAATGCTTTCAGAAATGCCGTTGCAGAATACGGTTCAGCGCGAGAAGTAAAAAGTTGAATGGTGTGTAAAAGGTGCTGGACCTATGCTGTGACATTCCCATCCACTCTGAGTTTCAAAATTCCCCGCGATTGCTGGCAAAAACAGCCCTCATTTCGTATTAGTCCAACAAAACCCTGGTAGGCCTATGTCATGAATTGCAAGCATATCAAAGTTATACGGCAGCAATGATGCTGGTGATTCTGGTACTCTTTCAAAATGGGGAATGGAAGCCCCACCCCATTAATTTCTCTGTAGCATAGTAAGTGTAAGGAGGCAGAAGAATTCCACCAGTCCTTCATACATTTTTCACCATTCTCATACCTTCAGAGATATGTTTTAATGAGTGTAGGCTATCATTGTGCAAAAGTCATAAAAATCTTTACACTCAGATTTCTCACTTCTATACTCTTCTTCAAGAAGTGCAAACTATTTAGGAAGGTATTCTTTGAAGAACATGGTACCAACATTTCTCTTTCTCCTTCATAAAATTTACCACAGGCTAAATCTCACATTTGAATTCCCCATATTGAAACAGTGAAACTTTCATCACTTGTAATGACTTCTCTCTGTCAGAGAAGCATGACAAGGCTCTTTGGGTGTGTTACATTTCCACTATTGAAATCATTTTATAATTGTTCTCTTTGTGCATCAGTAAACAAAATCACGTACTCATTATTGAGCCCATAGTGGGGTTAAGACTGCTCAGGCTGAAGGGAAATTGTCTGCTTCTCAATATTGCATAGTAAGAGTATGATAGTTGATTACTGTCAAATTTCAAGTGTTTCTCTCTTTCCATCCTGAAGGTGACCTGGTGGACAAATGAGACGATTCCACATAACTTGTGGAGACAACAAGAAAATTCTTGTTTCCCCCACAGAAGCCTCAGTCAGAGATGCCTTCTGCATCCCTTTGAATAGGAGTATTTTGCTTCAGGCATATGATGGGGAATTTGAGGACTTTGTTGATATTGAGTTTGAAAACTTGAACAAATCTCCTGCAAAACGACTCAAGGTCATTGTGCGAGGAGCCACACAAGACTTTGGCAACCCTAATTACATCCTCCCTGATGCCAACCATGCCCTTCCCAATGTTCAGAGTGGGCACAATGGACTCATCAATGAGCCCCTGGATCCCATTCCAGTAGGATGCATACCAAAGAATGAATATATAAATGAATTGGAATCATCGAGGAACCATGAAATGAAAGAAGTGCAATCTCAGATGG